GACGCCGAGCGCGCGGAGGCCCAGGCGCCGGTGTGGAAGGAGCGCGCGCTCACCCTGTCCGAGTTCATCCACTCCTACCTCCTCCCCAGCAGCCGGCACGACCACCACCGCAGCGCCGACGGCGATGAGGGTCTGCCGTTCGATCGAATCGGGTACCTGGCGCAGCACGCGCTGATCGAGCAGCTGCCGGCGCTGCAGGAGGACTTTGCGCCGCCGCAGTACTGCGCGCTGGGCGAGCTGTCCAACATCAACACCTGGCTGGGCACCTCGGGCACGGTCACCTCGCTCCACTTCGACAGCTACGACAACCTGCTGACCCAGGTGGCCGGCTACAAGTACGTGCGCCTCTACGACCCGAGCCAGACGCCCTTCCTCTACCGCGACGCCGCTGCATCGGATTCCACCGACGACACAACCACCAAGCCCGACGAAAAGAAGGGGAAGGAGAAGAACGATGGTGATGACGACGATGGTCATGGTAATGAAGAGGAGAAGGGGGAGATGATGGCGATCTCGGCCCAGAGCGCGAAGGCTCAAGGCAACTTTAGCGCGGTGGTGAACATCGAGTCGCCGGACTGGTCGCGGTATCCGCTGCTGCGCGAGGCGGTCTACACCGAGACCATCCTCGGGCCGGGCGAGATGCTCTTCATCCCCCAGAACTGCTGGCACTACGTCCGGTCCCTCACCACCTCCTTCTCCCTCAACTTCTGGTTTTAAGCCTTCTTCTGGCTCCGCGCACCTGGGAAAAATCCTGGGAACCCGAGTTAGTGTCCTTACCCAATGAACGTTTTAAATTCCTTCTTTGCCCGTATAAATCAAACCGCACAATCCAGATTATTTAATGAATGTTGTACCAGGCCAAAATAAAGGCCAATTAGAAGCCGTAGGGGTTGGGCGGGACGGCGATGGTGGGAAGGAACGGCGAGGCCGTGTCGTCATCCTCGCCGAACACGGGGCCGGCGGTGGGCTCGGGCTCCGGGCCACGCATGGTGATGATCGGGACGGTGGAGTTGGTGATGAGGAAGTTGCGCGCGTGCCACATGACGCCGCCGCGCAGCTCGAGCATCGCGAGCAGGCCGGCGTTCTTCTGCTCCTGCTGCGCGAGCCACGCGCGGGCCTCGCCCACCTTGCCGTGATCCCTATTGGATTGATAGATTGATTGATTGATTGATTGATGATTCGTCGTGCGAGCGTCAGCGAATCAGCGTCAATAGAATGGCGGAGCAGCGCGTACCATTGGCTGTTGCTCTGCGACTCAGCGAGGTCGAGGTAGGCGAGCGCGAGCGCGGTGGCGAAGAGCGCCTCGAGCAGCGCGTAGGTCTCCAGGCCCAGCGAGCGCGCGCCCGTCATCGCCAGCTTGTCCTGGATGCTCTCCAGCGACACACCTGTGTGTGTCGTGTGTCGTGTGTGTGTCGTTGATTAGCGCAACTTCGAGCAGAGGCGCAGTATGAATGTGAGTGTGCGAGGGAGGAGGCTAGGCGAACCAAGGATGTCGGCCAACTGGCTCGTGAGCTCCCAGGCGACGCCGGGCTTGAGGCTGGTCTGGCTGGCCTTCTGCAAATCGAGGATCTCAGCCCACTTGCGCGGCTCCGAGACCTGAGGACCTGTCACACGTTACCACCACAGCGCACACATGTCAGTGCCAGCACCGCAAGGGAGGGTACAAAAAAGCGAAAGAGAAAAGAGCGAAAGAGAAGAGGTGCGGGCAGAAATGCAGGGGGTGGTCATGTCATTACCGCGCAGCCTGAGCACGAGGTGGAGGGTGGACTCCTTCTGGATGTTGAAGTCGCCCACTGTGCGACCGTCCTCCAGCTGCTTGCCGGCGAAGATCATCCTCATCTGATCGGGAGGAATGCCTTTTGTGTGTGTCGTGTGTGTGTAGTGTGCGTGTCGTGTGTGTCGTGTCGTGTCGTGTCAGTTACTAGCGCAAAGGAAGTTCAGAAAAGGCACGGCACGCACGCACCCTCCTTGTCCTGGATGCGCTGCTTGATGGTGTCGATGCTGTCACTGGGGTCCATTTCGATGGTGATCGTCTTGCCGGTCAGCGTCTTGATGAAGAGCTGACCGCCGCCGCCGCCTCCGCCGCTGCTGGCCTCTTCCCTGCTGGGCACGACCGGTGCCGGGGCCGCATGCTCGTCTGCGGAAAAGTTGGCGTCACGCAAGTGTGAAGAAGAGTCAGGCCATAGTGCACAGCGGCGATGCCAATCATGGAGGAGTGAACGAAGGAAGAAGGCAAAGTACCATCGGACCAGCTGTCTTCTTCGTCGTCGTCGTCGTCGTCGTTGTCCATGATCGCCATGCGTCGGCTGAGCACGGACGCGAGCAGCTGGGCGGATTCGACCTGTGGCTGCGCGGCGGCGGCCGAGGAGGTCGCAACCTTCTTCAGCGCAAAACCGCCGCGGATGCTGTCCAGCATCGAGCTCCTGGGCGCCGCTCGCTCCTGCTCGTCCATACGGCTCGACAGCACCTGCTGCTGCTGCTGCTGCGCCTGCGGCGGCTTGGAGTCGGCGGCCTTGAAGGCCTGCGGAGTTCTGCTCTTCCTCGACAGGGGCACGGCGGCGTAGCGGAAGCCCGTAGCCATGGGCTCGGGCGCCATCGGTGCCGCCATCGCCGCGGGCTGCGGGGGAGGGGGGCCGTAGGCGTAGCCCGGGCTCGGAGGCGGGACGCTGCTCTGCGGCGGCGGAGGAGGCGAGGCGTGGAAGGGGCTTGGAGGCGGAGGTCCCGCCGGCGCGGTGATTGGCCTGGACGGCGCGCGGACAGAGGGCATGCGCGCGTTGCTGAAGTTGAAGGCCGACGACGACGACGACGACGAGCTGGCAGAGGGCATCGACGCGCCGAAGAAGGAAGTGGCCATATCCATCTCCGGTACTGACGCCGTCGCCCTCGAAGTCGTCGTCGCCGTGTAGGCCTCGAGCGCTGCGAAAGGATCGGCCGCTTCGGCCGCCGGCTGGTACGCGTAGGCCGATCTGTTCTTGGACTCGCTGCGCTTGTACTCGGTCTTCTCGCTCTTTTTCTTCTTCTTCTTGATGTCGTTCTTCGGCATGGAGAAGCTGGTGACAGAGGGCGCGTCGTCGCTCTCGCCGCCGAACAGACCGAAGCCCACGCTCTCGTCTTCCTCCTCTTCCTCGGCTTCCTCCTTCTTCTCCTCCTTGACCAACTTGCTGCGCGGCGCGGGCGCGGGCGCAGCCGCCGCCGCCGCCGCCGCGGTTTTGGCGAGTGACACCGAGTTCGTGATGGTTCCCAAGTGCCACTGCACCAGCGCACTTGTCAGCCATGCCGCACACGCACACGCACACGCACTACTGCACATGCCACACGCACAAGCTGCACACGCACACTCTTAGAAAAAGGTGGGAGGCACACGTACGTCGGCAGAATCGAACGCCTTCTTGGCGGGTTCGGGCTTCGCGAGCGAAGATGTCTTGGCGCCGGCGAAGCCTCTCCGCTCCGCCATGGCCTCGATCGGCTTCCTCTCGCGCTCGACCTTCTCGCGCGGGCCGGCGAGTCCCTCTCCCTCTCCTTCTCCTTCTTGTCCATGGCCCCCAGTGACAGGGACGACGAAGACGACGACGGCGCCGACGCAGCTGCCAGGCCTCCCAGCAGGTCGAAATCGGAAAACTCCATCAGCGCCGGCGCCGCAGCGCCCTTGGGCGACGCCGGCGGCTCGTACCTGGCCTTATTCGTTGGCGTGGTGAAGCGCGAGGCCAAACACTTGTCCTCCTTCTTGTCCTTCTTGGCGTAGATGAAGCTCTGCGAGACCGGCACCGCCTCCCGCTTCTGCTTCTCCTCCTCCTCCTCCATGACGCAACTTTCCTCCTCCATCTGCAGCAGGAGCAGCTCCTTCTCCAGTTCAGCGTCTTCCAGCATCGAGTAGGACTGTCGAACGGAGCGTTGTCAACGAAGGGGTGTGAGTGAGTGAGTATTTGAAGCCACGCATGAGCGACACGGGAGGGAGATGGAGAGGGCGATCAAGCGCGCACCTGGGAGAGGGCCATGCTGATCTCATTGCAGACGTCGAGCGATGCCTCGATCTGTTCCAGCGCGTAGTCGTCATCGCACCAGCCGCCCTCGGCCTCTTCCGCCTTCTCATCGAACTCGTCGTAGCAGTAGTCAGAGTCGTAGTCCGAGCCGGAGCTGGAGCCGGAGCTGCCACAAGACTCATCAGAGTCATCGGACGACAGCGGGGCGATGGCCCAGGCGAGGCCGAGCCTGGTGAGCTCGGCCTCGTAGGCCGCCGTCGCCGGATCGCCGCTGCGCAGCACGCCTCGCGGAAGGGCGCCGATGAGCATACGCGCCTGGGCATCGTCCTCCAGAATCTGTACACCACATGGGAATGTGAGCAACGCAGGGAATGTGAGGAATGTGAGGGATGGGAGGAGACGCACGTGTGCGTGAAGGACGGCCTGCTTGACGGCCAAGCGCACGCGCACGGGATCCGACGGAGCAAGGGCCTCCTTGTGTACTAGTTGGGCCGCAGCAGCAAGGCTCTGCAGCGCCTTCTCGCCTGTGATCGCATGCGTTACCAAGACTGTGTGTTTCATGCGTTTCGGGGGTTTCGTGCGTGTCGTGGTGCGTTGCGGGAATAGCGTACCCAGCTGCTTCCGCTTGAGTCCGCTGGCGAGTTCGGCGAGGGTGAGCAGGTATTCGCCGCGCAGGGTCTCGAAGAGGCGCTTGGCGTGGTCGGTGGTGGCGTGCGGCAGGACGTGCTTCTCCACGGTGTCGAGCGCCTCCTGGGCCACCTGGCCCAGGTCCTTCTCCAGCTGAGTGCGCAGCTTCTTGTGTTGCGCCAGCTTGGCCCACACACCGTTCGCCTTGTCGGATTCCTCGGCTGCACGCACCTCGCGCAACTGGTCGAGCTGCGGCGCAATCTGTTCACCGAACACACACGCGCTTGCCACGTCAGCACCAGTGTGGTGCGTGGTCTACGACATGGGCATCCTGCTCCAGCGTCACCAAAGAAAGTACCTTGTGGGTGTAGGCTTCGGAGAAGAGCTGACCCTCTTCCTCGGTCATTTCGACGTTCATGTTGGCAATGGCGCGCACCGCCTGCGTCAGCTCTGCACTCGCCCACCAACCAACCAATAAACTCACGATTGTCAGTTGGTTAACTCGACCCCCGCGGCGCGGGGAGTACAGCAACGACAGCGGCGTACCGTCGAAGTTCTGCGTGGCTTGGGCGGCCTTGGCGTTTTCGAGGCACTCCTTGCGCGTCTTGAACTGAACAACGGGCGCCTCCTTCTTCTCCTCCTGCCAGCCGACATAGGGCAGCGAGTCCACGGTCTCCTTCTGGACCAGCTCTTCGATGGATGGACCCTCCACCTTCTGTTCGCCGGCCTCCCTCTTCTCGATCGCCACTGTTCGTTCGAGGGGGCGACAAAAGAACGAATGAGACAAAAAGACCGAAAACGAAGAAAGTACGAAGCACGAAGAGTCGAGTTGGGTACCGAAGGAGGTGAACTGTGTGACGAGAGAATACTGGGTGGAGAGCTTGATGATCTCCTCCTTCCTCTTGCGCTTGATGATCTCGTGGATGAGGGCGTCCTTGTCGTAGTTGCCGTCCTCCCTGTGATTTGTATGTGCATTAATGTTAGCATGAGCGAGTAAATGTCAGATCATTGCGCACGCGCTTGAACGACAGGGCAAAAAAGTTGGTTACCAATCGCGGATCATCGCCCTGGCGGTGAGGGTGTGGACGATCGAGCCTCGGGTGATGCTCAATTCGTGCGTGCTGACCAGGTTGCTGACCTCCATATCGCCGTTCTTGGCCTGTACGCACGCACATGCAAGATAAGAGCTCAGCATCCGCACTGCATCCGCTGTATCATAGTAAAGCGGCGCATACCTTGAGGGTGGCCGCAGTGCAGTAGTCGACGAAGCCGTACACGATCTGTCGTTCGCCGTAGAAGAGCGAAGTGAGCTGCGCCGGTGCCGCCGAGACCGAGCCTCGGTCCGAGATGTGCCAATCGACATTGATCTCCGACAGCGCTGCGGGGCGACACATCAGTAAAAGATTACCACATTACCAGGCAAGAGCAGGGTCGGTGTACCAGGCTGCAGCGCGCGACGGAACTGGCGCTCAATCTTGGAGCGGGTGGGCAGCTTGTTGGCGGGCATGAACTCGGCCACGCCGCCGCCCACGCGGGCCAGCGAGCGGACCATGTGGCGCGAGCAATTGCTGCCAAACCCAAAGGAGAACACGCGCGTGTGGGCGGCATTCTGCTTGATGAGCTCGACCAGCGACTCCTGGTTGGTGGGGTGACCGTCGGAAAAGATGAAGACGTTGCGCGGGGTGCGCTCCTCGTGGGCCATCAGGAAGAGCGAGCGCAGGGGCTGCCACAACTCCGTGCCGCCAAAGTTGGGGCGCATCTTATCGACGTAGTTCTTGGCCGTCGCCAGGGCCGACGGATCGGCCGTCGACTGGCTGTCGACAAACAGGCGCTCGTACGTGGAGCCGAACGAAATGATGTTGAAGGTCGCATCCACGTTGGCCAGTCGTTCGAGACAGGCCAGGAGGGTGCGCTTCATGTCGTCGAAGGGTTCCCCCTTCATCGACGACGACCGATCGACCAGGAAGATGAACTCGTGGTCATCGGGAGCTGTTAAAACCACACCCACGCCGACCATATGGTGAGTCAGTCGAGATCACAGAAGAGTAATGATGATGGCTCAATTCACACGCCAACATACCTTCGCCCTCGTACTGGAAGTCGGGATAGAAGGCAACCATCGCTGCATACCTTCCATTCTCTCCGTTTTCCTCGACCTGAAGTTGCGCAGAATGGTGGTACCATTGAGTGCTCAACTTTCAGCGCACGACACGCATGACGCTACAGAGGCATCTGCATACCCACATGCGGGGCTCGTAGGGCTTCTCCAGGCCGACGAGCAGGGTGAAGGGGCGACCCTCGAGCGACGTGCCGGGCTTGAGCTGGACGGTGGCCTTGGTCTGGGTCTGCTTGATAAGCAGCATACCCGGGTGGGACGAGCTCTTGAGTCGCACGATGGGGTAGGGCATGTCGATCGACACCTGCAGGTCGAGCGGCAGCCCGCCCGTGGCGTCGCCCTCGACGTTGACGGTCTTGGTCACGGTCTGAGTGACGTCCTTCAGGGCCTTGTCCCGCTGGGGCGGCGACACGCTGGCCGGCAGCACGAACGCGATGTTGGGACCCTCGACGCTCAGCTCCGTGACGTACGTGATCTTGATCAACACCGACGAGTTGGGCGGCTGCCGACGAAAAGAAAAAGGTAAGTATTATGGCTGTGTGGTGTGCGTGTCGTGCGTGTCGTGCGTGGTACCAGGTTGCCGACGCTGACGGTGAAGACGTCGGGTTTTTCTTCGTCCATGAGATAGGCGCCGTGGCCGGCCGCGACGGCCTCCTTGTACTCCTTGTGGGCCTTCTCCTTCTCCTTAACCTCGCCGATGATGTGCTTGCCGTTGATGAAGGCCTCGAACCCGCACACGGCGGCCATCTCGTCGAGCGGACACACGTACTTGGCTTCGATCGGCACCTGGCTCGAGTTGTGGTAGTGCTGCATGACAACGACCTTCGCCACCATGTCAAGCAGGGTGGCCCGCACGTGAACCGACTTGAGAGGCACAGCTTCTCCTCCTGTTGTCGAAGTGAAGCGCATGCAGCGCACCCGTGAGACTCACATACCAACAACATTCCAAGTGACATTCCAGCGATGGAATGTCAGCGATGTCGCATACCCTTGGACATCAAGCCGGCCTGCTCGTCGCCCTTGTTCTCCTCTTCGGAGGGCTGTGGTTCGCTGGGTGGAGCGACCACGTCAAACTCCTCGGCAGGCACGATGAGGCTCGCCTGCAGGACCACTGGCTTGTGGCTGGACAGCGACTGGCGAGGCGCGGGCTGCTTGCGGTCCTCCTGCTGGGCAAACTCGACCAGGTACGACATGTGCTGCTGCGCCGTCCGGTAGACCACGTACTCGTCGTCCACAAAGTCTGTTTGCTGACTCTCGGTTGAGCGCACGCCGTGCACGCTGTCGTAGCCCTTGGGCGGCTCCGTGATCGTTGTGTCGATCTTCGTGATGTCGGCACTCTGCGCAGAGTAGTTGCGTGAGCCATCACTAAGTTTGCAGCAGGTCGGGTGGCGAGGGTTACCTTGCCGAGCGCAACGTTACAGACGAGCATCATGCGGGTGCCCTGCTGGCCGGGCGTGGTGTACTGGGCGGCGGTCGACGAGCAGTCGCCAAAGTAGATACCCGCGCCCAGCATGCCCGCATCGGTCCTGGTGCCTCCCGACTGCGTGACGATGTGCGGGAGCAGCACACCGCGACTGAGAATACCCACCCAGTTACTGATACGCGAGCCGTGGAACAACAACCGCTGCACGTTGGCGTCAACGGCGACAGAAAAGAAACCCGGGTCAGCATTGGCTTCACCATCAAAACTGCGCCGCAGTGGTAGTAGTGGTAGTACCTGGTTGTCCATCTGTTTGGTGAAGAGCTGGCGCTCGACTTCCCTGCGCACCGTATAGACGTTCTTGACCTCCAGCTTGGACCCCTTGATCTGGGTGGAGAGCACCTGCTCCTTGATCTGCTGGTAGTCCTCGGCCTCGGCCGCGAGGGCGTTGATCTGGCACCGCAGGGCGCGGTACTTCATGTCCACCTCGGCCGTGGCCGTGTCGCCGGTGATTTCGTCCACCGTGAGCATGTCCTTCAGCAGCTGCACCAGCTCCTGCTTCTCCTCGAGCACCGCCGAATTGTCCACCGCCGGCTGCTGGTTCTGAGGGATCGCCGAGTAGAATTCCTGAACAGCACCGCAACAATCAACGAGAGTGAGCACAACACTGTTTTTGTTGACGAGCTGCGGCTCTTGCTGTAGTCGTGAATGCAAGTTACCTTGGATAGAGCGCGGATTTCGGTCAACTGCTCGGGGGTGGGATTGTTTTCGGCGTGCTTCAGCGTCTGGTAGATCTGCATCAGGATGGACTCGCCCTTTTCGACCTGCTGCAGAGTCAATGTCCCGAGTGGACTGATCGAATCGCACACGCACACGCGCACACGCACACACGCACACACCGACCATACGCGCACAGAGAGAACGCCGATTGAAGGCCGCGTGAGCGAGGTGTTGCAGAGGTGACGGATAGGAGGGGCTTTCTCACCTTTGCAGGGCAGAGGTGATTTTGTGGGTGGCTTCCGAGTACAGGTACTCGACCAGCTTCTGCACGGGCTCGGAGAGGGCGGAAGGCCCCTGCATGAGCCGGTTGCCCTGCGCCTTGGCCTTGTCCGACCCAATCCTGCTCGAAGCGAGCAGGTTGACCCGCTTGTAGCCCTGCCCGCTCATCGTAGTGTACAGCTGCGAATACGTGCCCT